ACGCGAACGTCCAATACTGAGCTTCTTAAGTCAGTCAATAGGAAAATCTGATCGATCATCGACTTCTAGTCAGAAGCTTCCTGGTACCAGCTATATTGATGCACTCTTCGAAGAAGGTGTTCATAATGGACAGTCCGTTGTTTGCATAAAACGGAAACAACTTCATGCCGTTATTGTTGGGGTCGCTGGGACCGTTTTTTCCAATCGCGCTGTTCCACTTTTCAGCGTCTTCTCCCACATGCGCATTAAAATCGCCCGTAAGTATGAGAGACTCCGCATTAAGCAGTTCGGACAGAGCCCACTGCACTTCCTCAAGGAAAGTATCATATTCTCCCTCCAAATTGGACGCATAGACCTACACCAAGGTCATCGATTTAGCCTGTTGTAGCTTCAGTCGGAGGATTACCACCCTTCCGCTGATAGGCTTCCAATGGATTATTCTAATTGGCAAGGTTGGGTTCTACCAGAACGCCAACACCGGCCTGAGCGCGAGTCGTGATATCGACGCCTGAGTAGTCGGCATGGTTGGGTTTTACCAGAACGCCAACACCTGCCTGAGCGCGAGTCGTGATATCGACGCAAATGAGTAGAATAGCTTCCATCCATTGAGGTTCATGAGTCCAGAGCCTTGGCGTTTTGCTGACGAGTGTCCAACAATGTCGAGTTGGTACTTTATGCCCTCATCAACTAACTCTTGTTCTTTTCCTCTGAGTGAGTAGCTCCCTCTGTCTGTGTCGTTCTCGTGGACCCTTTTCTGACGTGCTATAATGGCATTACGCTGTCTGTCTCTTCCGTTCAGAACGTGTAGCGACTCCGTTGCTGGCTGGTATCTTCGTCGTCGTTCCGTCGGTCTTCGTCAGCCATTGTTGTACTGCCGCGCTCCCTTCTGTCAGAAGGCGATGAGCAGGTTCTGATCGCCGACTTTTGCAGTGTGCCTCAGTCCCCCAATAGCCTGCGCGGCTTTTGGTAACCCGAGCTGTGGCCGAGCCGGTATAGTTTTCGATGGCTTCAATACCATGAGTGGCAAGTGGCTAAATTTTCCGGTGATTTTGCCATGATCTCCAACCCACTTCCTTTTTTATCCGGGCTTGGGACCTGCAACGGTGGATTTTCCTTCTCCCTCCCCACTTAATTAAATGCGCATCTCAGAAGGTTTTTTGGAAGAAGAAAGTACGTAGCGAATTAACGTGGCTTAGGAATATCGTCAATTGTGAGTGAATTTTCGTCAATGAGGCAAACGTTCGAACGGGGTGCTTTGTCTGTTATTAAATTTTCACTTTCTAATGACGAGACCTATGTTTCAGATTGATTTAATATGCAGGTTTCATGGATTTCAGAGCTACTGTGGATTTCATACATCACCGATGTGGAAGATTTTAAAATACATGAAATTCTTGATGGTATCCTTTCAGTTTTGAAAGAGGCATAGGCTAAACCGAGACCACTACTGAAATCGAAAAATTCTAAAAATATCTAAATGATGCTCCCGTAGCTGTTTTATTTTTCGAATAGGTTTACTTTCTGTATTTCGGCGTTGAGTGCAAGAGTTCCTTGCGAAACACTATCGTAGTAGCGCCTTATTACAGTCCATTCCCAATGTTGTCTGACCATGCAGCCGAAAGCAATAACGGATGGACTTACTGGATTTACTTTCACCTTTGCTATTTAACATTTTTCAACATTCATTTCCAAGTAGTACTGACTTCGTTAATGACTACATTGTCGTTCTGAAGGTGAAGATCAGTTCAAGATATGCAGTCTTATATGAAGCTGATATGAAGTTTGCAGATAACTTGGCAGTATTCGGGTTTTACCACCTGACGTCTTGCTTATGCGATAAGTCATTTTTATGTTTGCCGATTAATGGTTTTTACTTCAGAAATCGGAGTCATTGAGTAAATTCGGACTAATTCAGATTTGAGATGTTCTAAAGCTTTATTTGATGCATTTTACGTGACATAGTTCCACTGTTTTGAATATTATTTATGTTCACAACATTTCGAAAGTTGACGTCCATTTCTTGCTTCTTACAATACCTTTTCTGCACCAGTATTTTTCAGTTCACTCTTTAGGACAAGGCAAGAATTCTCTGCAACCATGAATCGTAAAGAAAAGGTGCAGAACAACAATTTTTTTCATGTAATTCCTTTCGTTTTGATACAAATGCCTGTTGACATTTCATAGTTATCTATTATTCACTCGTTTGATGGATTTTTTATTGTATGAATTTTATTTCTCTTTGTTGATATTTCACATTTTCTTTCGTTGTCTTATGCAGTTCAAGCAGATCATTATCTAACCATTTACTTTAGGGGTTCTCACTGAACTGCAGAGTTATTTCAAAATTGGGGACTGGGAGAGCGGCCTTCTACAAACAGTCTTTATTTCGTCGTACATGGTCTTTGCGCCGCTCTTCGGCTACATAGGCGATCGCTATCCACGCAAGTTCGTCATTCTCCTTGGCATTGTCGTGTGGTCTGGTTCTGTTCTGTTGAGCACGTTTGTTCTGTCAGATGTAAGTTAAGAACTGATGTTTGTTTTCTCGTTCGTTAGCTAAGTCATTGCTCCGGAACTTTAGCACTTCTGGTTATTCGCTTTCCTGCGCGCTATAGTTGGTATAGGAGAGGCTTCTTATTCTACTGTCGCTCCAACGATTATCGGAGACCTTTTCACGAAGAACCAAAGATCAAGAATGCTTATGTTCTTCTACTTTGCAGTTCCGGTTGGAAGGTATTTTTACTTTGTTTAAAATACTCATCGCATCCATTATTCATATGATCTTGAAGTTTTCGGTCTTAGCCGAGTAATGCGCCAAAGTGCTTTAAAATCAAAAAAGATTTAAATCGAGTACAAGCCTCTTTCGTTCGTTTTCAATTTCCTGTGAGGTATTAGAGACCCAAGACGGCCCAGGGAGACCCTTACAGTCAACCAGTCAGACACTTTCGATCACAGCTTATCGTTTCAGGGGCCAATATACACGTGTCACTACAGTATTTTAAAAGTTTCCGAACTTTTGCCAAAGTTTGAACCAGGGTTCTGAGGCAGAGCTCTTCCGTACACTTGCCCTAGGTTATTCCTGGCTACCTCAGGGGTCTTCGGTCTGTCGGCTGAGCAAGTGTTTGCTGTTTCACTGTCCTTTATTGAATATTCCGCAAGAAGTGCATAAGCCATGGCAGTTTTGACTTCTCGACCTCGAGAATCAGCGGCTGTGCACTAAAACTCCCGCAGATTTCTGTACTTGGGATCATGTCGAGATAGTTAAGGCCAGCGATTCGCCTCAGAAAGCCGATTTCAACCATTTGTACCTGGGATCGAAGTTTTCAGTCATGGTCTACAACTCATGACTGCAAGGGATGAAGATCGACTTAAACAACGAGAGCTTAGTCTTCAGACTCAGCTAAGCTTTAGTCATGACTAAAGCTAGTTAACGGAGAATGCCACTGGCTATTCTAATCCGTCGGTCGATCTCTTTCGCAAATTTTCCATTACCAGTTAGCGCGACCCCGAGGTATGTGAAATTCTCCACCTGCTCAACTGCTTCTCCATTTATCTGAAAAGCGCATCGGGCCTGAGATCAAGAAAACGTTAGACTTTCGTTTTAGATGCATTCGCAAGCATACGGGTCGCGTCGCACTCGGCTGCGAACTTTTCCAGAGAGCGCTGTAGGTCAGTTTCACAAGCTTCCATTAAAACAAGTTCGTCTGCAAACAGAAACCTTCTCGTCTTCACATCTCCTACACAGACACACTCATCGCCTTGGCTACCCCTGACATGTACAACACAAACACGAGAGGGGATAGGACGTAGCCTGGGCGTAGACTTGTCCCAACTTTGAAAGGCTTTGACTTAGCTCCATTTACTCTGACACAGCATCTGATATCAGAATACAGTAATTGGATGGCCGTTAGCGGTCGGTCATCTGTCCTGTATGCTCGCAG